GCATCTTGTGGATCGCAGGGATGATGTTGTTGTTGTTAGTGAGTGCGAGTGTTCGAGAATACTGCGCAGTTCTTATGCTCGACTACAGAGGGCTGTGTGACGTCGAAGGTGAATGTATGCACAGATATCGGCCGCTGTCAAAGAGAGGCCGTGCGACTGATCTTGAGTAACCTGGCCAGATTGCCAAGAATCACATCGATGGCTCACCTTCACCAGTTGATGTCGATGATGGTAGATGGAAAGTACTAGGTTCGTCCAGACTGCGAGGTGCGATAAACATATTTAGGGATGCCCTATGAGTTATTAACTCACCTGCTTGTGATATGAAGAGCGTTTGAGTAGAAGCGAGGCAGTGAAAGCCAGCGACTGAATTAACGCACGTGATTTTCTCGGCGCGTGACGTCATATACACACTGCCTTGCACTACTTGCACGTCTCTACAGCTCCCTTCCGAATCCGAGATAGCAACGATGTCCATTGTGAGAAAAATCGACAGGAAGGTTAAGCAGCACTCCGTAGACTAATATGATCTAGTCTATCTTTCGGGACGGCCGAGAAATCAAGGCCCAAAGGATGATCATTACAACCATCATCGAAATCAACCTGCATAAGCCTTCAGTTTGCATGATTTCGCTGGAGAAAGCGTAATTACACTGGCTGCAAGGCCTTGATGCCTGCTCGGGAGGAGATCGCTCCAGTCATGAAGGGGAAGATAGCACTACCCGCCTGACCCAACCCGGCAATGTAGCCGATGGAACCGGTGAGAAGCCATCCAGGGAGGACGCGCCCGGTGTGGTTCATAGTCAGGGGATAGATGGGTCCCAGGAGGACTCCAACAATAGAGACTGCGACGGCGTCGCCGATCAGAGATGGCACAAGCCATACGACTAGCTCAAGTCTTGTAATGTGAGTCAGATCAGAGACTAGACACACAGAGGAGAGATGACGACGCACGCGACGGCGAGAATGGAGTAGATGAAGATGACCCGTCTTTCTCCCACCTGAGCATCTCGTGAGCCGAAGCAAGCAGCCGAGAAGACGATGATAGAGTGGTGACCTTTTGATTCAACCACAACAGCCCAATCCGGCCAAGCATCAGACCACCGAAGAACCCGGCGGAGACGTAACCCGAAGACCTGCCTCCCCCTCTGACCTCGATGATGTACGTGACAATCCACCCGCCGATGGTGACCTCCACGCCGACATATATAAGGATAAAGGCCGCGATCAGGTGCACTGTTTTCATCGTCATGATTTGCCGGAACGTGCTGTGCTCGCTGGTGCCCGATTCGCCTGCGGCCTCGCCCACTGACGCAAGACATTCTTTTCGTAGGTGAATGGTCAGCGACGTCGGCGGTGCTGCGATGGAACAGTGAGCGCACCGTCTTGAGACTTGAACCGGAAGACGCAGACGAGCAAGATGGTGTTGATGACCGCAATGCCGAGCGAGCAGAGATAGTGGAACGACCAGTGCTGAAGGTGGGCGAACTGCGTCGCCACTAGCGGAGACGCCAGCGCGCCAGCCCCATACGCGCCGTGGAGTAAACCCATTTTGATTTCGGGGCTGTTCGTCAAGCTCGCGATGTAGCCATTGGCTTGGGCGTCCTTTCAAAGGATGAGCGAAAGAAAAATGGGGGCATGTAGAGCTTTCTACCTGGATCGCCATCCCTATTCCATTGATAGGAAAGGAGATCAGGAACGCGGGGAAGGGTGGTGCAGCGGACTGGATCGCATATGCGACGACCTGGAAGACGGAGCCTGGCACCCATCATCACTTGAGCCTTTATCATCGCATCGAATACTCTGCAGACAAACCAAGGGCGATCATCTGCGCGGTTGGACTTCAGCATAATGGAAGGGGAGAGTTAAAGGGACCAACCCACCTTGCCAAACCCTAAGCGGTCAGTCATAGGTACATTGACCAGTGCACCTCCCACAAAGCCCTGATGCGGAGATCAACGGAGAGTTACACCGGCCAGAGCAGACGCACAACACAGGCGCAAACGAAAATCAAGGAAACGACGGCGAAGCCAACCTAGATTAGTAAATCAGCGTCAGAGAGTGGATCTCAACAGCTGGGATACTGACATGGTACACTTGCTGAATTCGCGGAATTAAAGGCCCAGAGGAGCCTGGAGACAAAGTCCATTGAGCTGTTGCCGGAGAAACGCAAGCGTACCATCGTTCCACCCAGCGGCTACCATACTGCAGAGTTTCGGGTCAGCTGCTTATCTGGAAGGAGCATCCAATTCTCTTACCACCAATACAGGGCGAACAACTGGATGCGCTCACGCAGTACATGCTCTTTAGACCGGGGAGTGCTTTCCGCTCTCTCCGGAGCACTATCCGCCTGCTTGTGCACCTCCTCCATACCCACACTGTGATTGATCGTCTTGAGGTTCCCCTCGGCCGTCTGCGAGGGGATCGTGTGCAGCTCGATTGCAGAGGCCTGCGCGATCGATGACATGATGAAGCTGGTAACAAAGTTCAAGACGCGAGCGGTTATGAAACTCTTATATGGTCGTAATCATAAGCCCAGAGAGCACGGACAATCTCCAGAGCGGGGAAAGAGGGACGTGGATCTGACGTGGTCCATCGGCCCTGTGATCCGCACGGAAGAATTTCGGCGAAACTCGCCAAGCCATCGAAATTCGTTTGGTTTAACATGTTAGAAGCCTGAGATTCGTCGAAGGATCCAGAGTGTCATGAATATACTGGTTTTTGTCTCATTGTAAATGGTTGTGATATTTCTCGAGATAGGTATTTACTCGTGAAGGGCTCAGCATTCCAGTCATCTCAAACGCGCGCTTCCGAGATTTGAATCGAGCGAGTGGAGCCATTCGGTTGAAAGAGAAATTTCAGATGCCAGATGAAAGTATTCTCGTCTTTCTCCTTTGAGTGTGAGAAGAAAGAGGCTGGGTGCGCATGATAAAACACAACCGAGTCACTTATTTCTATCATGTAGGAACACATGACAGAAATCCCTGTAACTGAGCGGTATCCAATCCAAGTCGATGATGCCTTCCTTGTTCATGCGATTGGACTCGTTGAAAGTTGTAAGGTCAAGTTTCCTCGGCTTTATTTTGTGAACATGGCATCCCCGATTTGGAACGTGATGCTGTCACTGCAAAACGATCACGTCTTGCAACTCGGAGTTGGTTCTTCAGAATCGCAGCCACACTCAACGCCCCCAAGCTGCTGCGGATAGATGATAGCAAAACGGATACCATCCACTACTGTTCCTGCGGATTTCTTGCTCTCACGACGCACGTTCGAGCACACTGGGTTGCTGCTCTATGTTAGCCCGAGATTCAATACATCACTGGCTCTAGGGCGCTCCTGGGCGATTCTCTTTGTCGGTCCACCCTGATCGTTTTACTATGGCGCCTCCCTATAAGCGAGTGTGGCCTGAGGAGACAGTCGCGTTCCGAAGCGTGCTCACGGCAGTTTGCTTTCCATTCCATTCCTTCTTTGCGCCCATCTTTCCCCCTCGCTCGCTAGTACCATCAGTACACGGTCTTTAGAATGTCTTGGCAATAAAATGCAACGGCTGTGCTCGAGACGGCCGACAACCAGCATTTCTATAATCTCAATCTGGGCCCCTACCTGTGCGGGTCAGTCTCAATGATACCGTACTGGCCGCCACGCACACCATCTCTGAGAGTGGAAAATTCGCAGGCTGGCCGCACAGACTTTCATGATGAGCTGTCTTACGCTTCAGATGTGGAAGTACTTCGAGGACCATGGCGACGACACGCGCAACATGAAGATCTTCGTGTCCATCCTCCGTTTCTTCATGAGCCTGTTCCAATCTGCGACCGATTGGTGCGTGACTACCCAGTTTCTCACGTCCTGAACGATTCAGCCTCTGATCTCGGTCTGCAGCCAACTGATGTACAACGCTTTCGTATCGAGCTACGGGGATATCCTCCATTGGAACAGATATGGGTGGACATTCACGTGTGCGGCGCTCGGTTCTCCGTCGATTTGCAAATGCTGATAGTTGTCCGGCTAGTTACGAGCCGGCTTGGACTGCCCTCATCGCTGCGCTGGCTCAAGGATTCTTCCTGCATCGATGCTGGATCGTGAGCAAGTCTATCGGTATTGGTCGTGGGCGGACTGGGAATCATGGTTTCACTCGCTGCGGGCATCGCCTCGACTGCGGGTCTCGTTGCTCGTCCATATTACACGTGAGTGGCGCTCGTCCCACGGAGCTCAGTGCTCGGCCGCTGAGCGATCGCTCAGGGAGACTTCAATTGTCATCGTCCAGGTCACGACATGGCTGATAGCCACTGCCAGTGCGATGTCCTTTCTCACTCCTTACCGTTTCTCAACTATCTCATGAGCAGTCCCCGATCTAGGCATTTCCATCGTTTTGATCACCCATCTGCGCAAGATGAAGACTGGTTTCAAGAAGTGAGCATACCCATGTCTTTTCCTTCCTTTCAGCTTATCCTGGGACAGGACGGCAAGACTTCGTTCTCCATCTCGCGATGCGCAAGATCTCCGATCCCTCCCCTTTCCCAGGAAAAGACGTTGTCCCGCGTGGTGCGGGTGACATTCGAGACAGCCTTGATCACTTCGCTCGTCGCCCTCGTTGATCTGCTGCTTTACGTAATCATGGGAAAGCGAAACAGCATCCATCTTGCGTTCCAGCTCGTCGTCGGCAAGACATACAACCATTCTATCATGGTCACCCTCTTGTCCCAAACTGTGCGGAAACATAGCTTTCCCCATGAGGATCTTCTCTCACATGCACTCAGCGGATCCGGAGCGAACTCGACTCCAATTCGCTGGGCCGGATGGCTGACTCTGGCTCTGGCCAGACGAAGCCCCATAAAATCAATACTGGTATCACGGTCACCAGGACCCAGATCCGGGTGGCCGATCACTTGGACTATTCCATGCACTCCATCAAGTCGATGTCACCCTCGGAACGTGGCGAGGAAGAGAGAGACGCCAATTCCGTCAAGGATCGGATCGCTTGACGCCGTCGAACATCGAGTCGGGCAAAGATACTGCTGCAGCGACTGTACACACTTTCAAGTCTACTACATTACCCTTACTTATATAACACCAACACGAGACTAGATGATCCCCGTCCAGGTCTCGATGAGATCGACGACACAGTACCCGTCAATCGGCACATACTGTTTGGTGATCATCTTAATCACCTCCTGTGCGACTAGTCCACCGAGGAATGCGGCCGTGTTTGGCAAGTCGGCGTCCGGAGAACGGGCGCTGCGTGTGACTTCAGCCGCAAAATAAAGAAAATCCACGGTTGACGACACACATTTCACCAACGGACAGAGCAAATTCTTCCGGCAGCTCGGTTCCAGGTGGTAACAAGGCCTGGGCCGCGGCAGTCAATGCGGCCTCTGATGGCTGCGATGTTCCGACAATGGCGAGAGCAGAAAGAGCCAGGTGTGTCGCAGCGGCCTTTGGCGAGGACTCGATGGCCGCAGCTACACAGTGGAAGAAATTCAGTGACGACAGATCGGATGCGATATCCTTCACTCACCCAGAGCGGCAGGGTCAGAATCCAAGCTTCCGTACTTCCTTCCACGCAGCAACTTGAGCCCGTGCGAGTTCTTCACGAAAGAATCAATGAGATCATCTTCCAGGGGCACCGTGAGGAAACTTTTGAACACCGCCTTCTCCTCTTCAGCCCGCTGTTTGTACAGCTTTTGCAAGTGGATATAGTTGGTCGTGTTGGCTTTCATGTCAGGGAGTGTACTGCTCAAAGGCAACGTATGTGGAGGTTGCTGCGTGAATTGCCGCAAGGCATCGAGGAGATGGAAGAAAGGAGGTGAGCTGGGACCAAGTGCGCTCAATTTCGGATCCTGGAATAGTGCGGAGATCTCCGACGGCACCCGAGTTTCCGTCCAACATCGGTAGGCTTGGGCCTCTGCTTCGTCAAAGTTCTCCTCGTCAAACTTGGTCTTCATGTCCTGCAGTGCCTCCTTGAACAGTTTCTTCTCGTCGTACGTCTGCGGTGCCTTGCCATCGTGCCCGGCCTTCCAATCTGCCAAAGCACGGACGAGGAGGACAACGTAAGGAATGTGAGAGTGTTCGGTGGGATCCATGTTCTGCAAGTCCAGGGAAGTCGCGTATTCTTGTAGAGTAGGAAACGCTTTGTCGATTCGTAATGACGGTGTTGTTTCCGAGTGGCTGTCGATGACTGCGTGCATACTAGGTGAATATACCAAGTTACGAATAACAAAAGGCGGAGCATACCTGTATGCTCGTGGAACTGGATTGTGAACTCAGCCAGAAAACCAGCCGAGTTAACGGCCACCAAGATCGGCAGAGTGTCGTCCTCCCAGAGCAGAGCTGAGAGGCGTTTCAGCAGCCTGGGCTCCAGATTGTGCGCGATCACAACAGTATACGGCGCAAAGTACCCGGGGTTCGTATCGAGGATGTCCTCCAAACGTGACTGGTCCGCTCTCCCTTCGACACCGTCATTGAGCTCGGAGAGCAGCCGAACAGCTTCCTCGGCACGGGACTTTCCGATGCTCTCACTGCCCTCAAGAAAGAAGTTGTTTCCCGCATCGCGCGGGGAGACGGTCCGCGGATCGAGGATGGTGAAGTGTCCGATACCAGGGAGAACCAAGTTCTTGAGGATGGACGTCGAGGTCGCGGACCCGGATATGACTAGCAGACGCGAGTTTTCCAGCGCAGTTTGGCCGGAAGCAGCCCACAATCTGATCTCTATGTCAAAGAGAACAAAACGGGGGGATCCGAGCGGACCTCAGTTGCCGATCGTAGCGCCGCGTCTTCGCGTCAGGTTGTACTCTGAGAGATGATTCAAGCCCCGCGACACAGACAGAAGCGGAGATTACCGACTGTGCAGATGCCAAATCCATTGCCTCCGGAGCCATCGCGTTTGAATAGAAACAAAGAGTGAACACTGAAGTGGGCGTCGAGGCGAATGAGTAAAGCAGTGTGACGTGACCAGGTCGCGACCGTCACCCGATCAATCGACTGAGCGTTCCGCCAGAGCTATATTTTGATTCAAGGACTCTAAACCCAGAAAATGCTCCCTCTATGAGACCTGCACTAATTAGATGGCGAACACTCACGCCGACTCGACTCTTGAGCACAGGTGAGCACTCGTTGCCTGAAACTTTCTTGCCTCTCATACTTGGATGTCCTAAGTCATCGAGAAAACTGTGTTGCCTCCCAACGAACTCTTAGCGCTTTGTATTGAAAACAACCAGCTCAACAGGGCAGAACGCATCCGAAAACGACTTGCCAAGCAGTCCCTTGCAATCATCCCGAACGCGCTCTACGAAGGCGCCGCGCTCGAACAAATCCGGTTCCACGGGAAACAGAGCGTGCGCGAATTCCTCGCGTGGATTCGTCTTGTCCCGGACAACCTGCAGCCCGAGTGCGTCCGCGATGTGCCACTCACGCGCACGCGGGATCTGCTTTTACACACAGGCGCCCCCGCGCGTAATCTGCACCTCATCACGCTCTTCTCTCTGGTCTGTGCCGAAAAGGGATATGGGGCGTTGGTATGGGATGATTTGGTGCGCTTGATGACGGGATACCAGCACCCTGACAAAGCCGTCTCGTTCTTCCTTGAGTACGAGAAAGCGTTGGTGGCCTATTATACCCGGTACCAACCCTCGAGGGCTGCAGAGATATCGAGGAAACAGAGGCATCTGTTAGTGCAGTTGTGCTGCGATGCGGGCTGGTTGGCAGAAGCTGCTGGCGTGGTGCGGGACAGTCCGGGGATGCGACTGACTCGCTCTTGTGAGCGGCTGGTTGGACTGTTGCAGGGCCAAGAGGAGCTCTCGGAAGAGATGGCTGTGATTCAGCGACATCTTCGTCGGCACCGTGCCCCCAAACCGCTCTCCACGGGGGCCATCGTCAAGGGTGTGACGGCGCCGATGCCTCGGGAATGGATGGCGACAGAACTGCGAGAGGTCAAAGCCGCCTTGTCGAATCGGTCGCTTGCCATGGACGAAAGCCCCGGAAACAGTCTGCACTCGTTCATGGTTAACTACCGGGCCTCCCAGGGCCATCCACGCGGGCTGACAATTCTCCGAAATCGTGCGGTTTCACTCTCCGATGGCGCCAGCTACGTCTGGCTGTGTAAAGAGATGTTCTTCTTGCGCGAGTCACGCAGGTTTGCTGACACGGTGACTCTATTCAACGACAACTTTGACTCCACCTTTCTACCCGCAGCAGCCTGGCACCCGCTTCTTCAACACGCATCTTCTTTGTCCCGTAATCCACCGCTTGCGAAAGTGCCCAGTCGACTAGCGATCACCCCTGCCGATGCTTGGATCATTTGGCACGCACTGATCCGCCTTTCGGCGCGCTTAGAGTCTCCTCTCAACATCTTGCGCACATTGCACTATTCAGCTGCGCACTACTCATCGCAATTGAGCCGACAACAGTTTTGTGCTTATCCGACCTCTTACGTGGCTGTGTTCCGGAGCCTTGTTGCGGCGTATGGGAGATTGGGTCGGGTCGAGGATGCTATCGCTGCTGCCGGCGATGTCCTCGTCATCAAGCAACTCCATCCATCGAATGTGGGCATCGCGGATGAACTGGCGGGGGTGCATGCTCGATGCGGCGACATTCAAGCTGCCAACCGGATGCTGGATGGTTTGGAAGCCCTTGGACCCCGACCTGCTTCCTATGGCTTAATCATGGACGCTTACCTGGACAAGGGTTTGACCGAGGAGGCTTTCAAACTGGAATCGCGTATGATGAAGAAGATCCGATACATTCCAGGGAAAAACTGGAGACTGGACAAGACGCTAACTAGATTGGAAGCATCTCGATAACGCTATCGTGCGGTGGTCTGCGTTGCTGCTGTTCTTTCCGACACTTTGTCGACCAACGGTGCATCCGCTGCATTCGCCGCAGGTATCTCAAGTTTGGACGTCAACTCTCGCTGAGTCGATCGGCTGTCCCCCTTGAATCCGAGATAGTAGATTCTGGACACGTCGCCCCCTACAGAGTCCCCCTGCCCGAGTCAACGCCAAAGCCTCTGAGAGAAGGTGCACCACCCACAAAGAACAGAGTCAAAGTAGACACGTTGGCGAAAGCAGCAACACGTAGCGGGTACTCCACTACAGCTGTCTCCCCTTCTAGTAGATTCATATCCAGATGCGGTCTCGTATTCTCTGCATCAGCGAAGTCGATGATGTTCGGATAATTTGCGTATATTCGCAGATTCCGGGGGGTCGTCTCCCGCGTCCTGACAGCAATGTTAACCTCAAGAACAGCAATCACACGAAGGCAGGCACACCCAGCTTTAATAAGATGGATTTGAGTCGAACAAGTTGGCTGAACGGAATGTGAAGGATCATCTGGCTCCGATTACGATGGTGAATGTATAGAAGAACGGCCGGGCATACCTGGTCGTCGACCCCACTATCCGCAAACTTGTCGTTAGATTCCCGCTCGTCCCAGGGCTATCAGCGCATGAGCCCTATGTGCGTCACAGGAAGCACAAAATCGGACAAACACCTTGATAATAGCCTTCGCATCTTCAGGCACTGCGAGATTCAACCCATGCACCCTGGAGGTTGATTGAAAACGACCGAAAGACGCTCTTGGACGTCATCGCGCACTTGTCCTTGTCAATGAATCCGTATAGATTCGATCCCTCTATGCATCTGAGATCGTGCCTTCATTCTGAAAGGGATTTGATGTGCCCACCACTCCCATTAAGGCCAGACGCGACTGAGTTGCCTTCCATCGTATGCACTGGTGTACGCGCAGTCGAAATTAGGTGACAAATGAGGATGACTGATGCTATCGTGCTTTCCACGCGCGTTACTCGTTGGCACGTACTACCAAAATCTCAGAGTGGCCTGCCATTCCATGGATTCAGCTGCCGAAAAGTATTGGCTTTTGAAGGCTGAACCCGACACGAGGATCGTCAAGGGAAAAGATGTGAAGGTATTGTTCACTTTCAGCAGGCACACTCTTCTTTCTCATTTGGCTCGATACTATAGTTCAGCGTGGACGACTTCGAACAAGTAAAGACATCCCCATGGGAAGGCGTACGTAACTACGAGGCGAGGAATATCATGAAGGACATGAAGATCGGGGAGAAGGTTTCCGACGAGACTCTTTCTCGCGCATACGAGACTGATCGTATCTCCAGGCCCTCTTCTATCATTCGAATTGCAAGGATCCAGGTGAGTTGTATGAAAACATCTCCAGAGGTCGATATCTTATGAGGGGCTGGACAGGCATTGCTGCGTTCGCTGAGGTCAGAAATACGCCTGTGGTTCAATTGCTCTCCTGGACTGGGACTAATCGCGCACAAAGGTGTCCAAAGAAGCTTACCCCGACCGTCAGTGCTGCTGGTTTTCTTGAGCACCGGTTTCCGACACTTAATATGACATCCAGACACTGCATGGGATTCGTATGTCCTCCATTGCTCCTGAGCAGCAGACATTGAGAGACTTCCTGACAGATCGCATCCTTACTATGACGCGGTTTGTTCTCCGAATCTGTTCACATGCATTTTTCGTGATCGTCTTGCAGAAATCAAAACAAGAGGACCCGAAGTGGTTCATGGTCGACCTGACCTTCTCATCTCGAACGAAGAACTTCGTTCCGCTTGCTCTACTTCGTTTCATCGCGGACCAAGCCTCGACGTCTAACATTCCGCCCGGGCTCAAGTACATCGGTGAAAATGGTGTGGCTGCAATAAAAGGTTTTTGCGACAAATGTCTGTCGAGTTGATCCGAGCTAAAGGGTTTGCTATGGAACAGCCATGGAACTTGTTGCCCGAGGTCGACTCAGCGTCCAACGAGTCACACCAGAAGCGTGGGCAGCGATCTCTTTACTCGCAGAAAACGGTGGATGGTCTGAACTAGATCTTTCTGGTAAAGCGAAAGCCAAGGCCAAGACACCCAAGAAAGCTGCCGCGGCAGCAGCCCGACCGCGGACACCGAAGCCGAAGGCCAAGGCTCCAGTACAGAAGAAAAAGCGAAAATCGAAAGATAGTGATGGTGGAGATGAAGGAGATGCAGACGATTATGGAGATTCTGATGCGTCTGAGGTAGAAGTCATGTCAAAGACGACTAGTGCACGGCGTAAGCGTCTGGCGGAGGACTATCAAGAGCTTCCACCGTCACGGCGTGCCAAGACGAAATAATGATTCTGTAATGTCTACTCTTATAAAGGATCTATCAGTATCTGCCTGGGCGTTCAGAGGTTCTGGGCCGGTCTGTCGGCAGCTTGCATTTGGTCAGAACCACTCAACGCTCTCGAGCTGCTCCTAAAACGCTGGCCTACATAAGAATTTGATTTCATCAAATCTAGCCCGTTTTCATGAATTTTGTGACAACATCACTCCGAATTGTCTCAAAAAGACGACCAATCTCATTTTTCCAAAATTGATTACTCCACGGGTGTCATTCATCGGAACATACCCCCGAGATCCGCTGCATAAGGGGCCCCAGGTAAGTAATCGGTCATGACAGTCCGGTCGAATTGATCATTGCTTATGTAGAAGATCCTCGTTCTTTCCCAGCTGCGCATTCATGCCCGTTGATACAACAGGGAAAACTACCTCACGCCGGCAGCCGCGCGCACTGACGGAGGAAGAGCAGAAGGATATTGAAATTAAACGACTGCGGGGTGTGTAAATTGGCCGGGGTTCTTCGGCGAGTTCTGACCTGCCGGAGGACAGGTGAACTTTCGTGCGCAGAGTGCAGACGACTTAAGCTCAAATGTGATAAAAGCGTGCCGTGCGGTTCTTGTGTGCGGAGAGGATGTCAGAGTATCTGCCCCTGCGGTGAGACAAGCGACTCGCGCCAGAATCCTGACTGAGCCAGAGCCCACCAGGCATATTATCCGGTGGCCAGGGTACCCGGTGCGCTTCGTGCTCAGCGATTCCTGCACATAATTCGCTCACTGAGGACTTCAGCTTCATCCTTGCAGATACAGATCAGCTTCATTCTAAGATCGCTGAAATGAGCCAAAGAATCCGACAACTTGAGGAAGCTCTCGCCATCCTACAAGCCTCAATATCCAGCGACCGACATCCATTGCTTGCCACCGACCTGCTAAAAATTAAATTCGCGGCCGAGGCGCCAGCAGTTTCACAACCGGTTGACAAGGAGAGTGAGGAGCAGGGTATCGATGCACTGGGAACCTTGACGTTCGGGGATTCCGGCGAGGTCATGTATTTCGGAAGGTCGGCTGGGACGGAGACCTTGCTCTGTGTTCGTGCCGATGCCATCGTTTCACACGAACTCACATCCATAACCTCTGCAGGCAGAAGACTATGAGTCTGACAGCGAGGAGGAACAAACGGACTCGGAATTGCCTCGGTCTCTATCTGCTGACATCGTCGACCTCGACTCCGCCGAGTTTCCTTGCGGTCAACCCAATCCAGAGAAGCATGCGCGTCTACGCACCCTTCTTCCTCCGTTGAAGCAAGCGATCGAAATGTGCGAAGGATACCTGGCGCATGGGGCTCTCTTTTTCCGACCAATAAAGCGGGACGAACTCCTTGGGACGTTTATGCAATCTATATATGCGAACACTCTCGAAGACCCACACAGCCTTGCTACTCTCTTCTTTATATTCGCCGTCGCCTCTTTGCTGGATATGAAGCTCCCGCCGTTTAGTGCGGAAGCTGAGCGCTTCTACCATGGTGGGAAGGCCGCATTGGGTCTGCGAGCTATTTACGACGGGCCGCGAGTGGACACTGTGCGTGCAGTGGGCATGATGGCAACCTACCATAGTTTGGCCGGGAAAAAGTACTCTCGAGACAGTGCTTGGTGTTTGATGAGTATCGCCTCCAAGGTTGCTCAGAGTGTACGTTTTTCTCAGCTGTACGAAACGCGCTCTTTCTCACATCCCTCACCAGATCGGGCTTCGTGAGTGACTTGGAACTGTATTGTGGATTCTATCTGAATGCAACTTAGATCGTGATTGTGCTCGGTGGAATATGGACCCTGGCACTGTTCAGCAGCGACGTAGACTTTTCTGGGATGTGTTTGCAGCTGATGTGTCTCATGCAAGGCATTCCACGTCTTAGAAGATCTCCCGCTGATGTCTGTCAGAGTCTCGCAATGGGCCGGCCACCATCGATTCCCCTCGCCTATGTTGATTGTGAATATCCAGAAGACGAAGAGTCTTCACTAACTGATCTTGGCGAAATCCAACCCGGATGTAGGCTTCTCGTCGATCAGGTTCTGGCTAACTCGCTAATCTGATGATGACAGTTTGGCAGTCGAAATACATCTTCAATCGGGACATATGGGTCGGTGTTGCAGAGGCGACACTGTCCGCAAAGGTGCCAGGTTATTCACGCGTCCTCGAGCTCGATCGACGAGTTAGGGAACTCAGTGTGCCAGACTCTTTCAAACCGCAAGTTGTCTTGCCAGACTTCCCCAGCATGTTGTACTGACTCGAACCTCAGATACGCCACTCGAGCTGACGGGGAAGAGTTGTATCACTCCACTGAAGCTAGCTTACGGGGCTTTTACGGAAGCCAATACCGAACCGTTAGTGCGTTTTCTAGCATTTGTGCATTTTTCAACAACTCAGCATTTGCGTAGCCATGATATATCTTCATAGAAGTTTCTTCGCACAGGCGATCCTCGATTTTCCATCGAACCCACTTCGAAGTCCGTATGCGACATCTTTCCTGACAGCTTACCGATCAGCGAGTGTTGTGATCAAGGCCACTGCATACTACTTTGACCGCAGTCACGAAATGGCTATGAGGGCATGGTTTCTATTGCATCACACGTTCTCCGCCGCCGTCATCGCTGGGACAATCGTTACCCTGGCTCCTCAGTCGAATGTGGCATCTAGTGCGCTGCTGGATCTAGGGCTGGCGGTGGAATTGTTCCAAAGGTCGGCCAATCGGTCACACAGGGCAAAACTGGCATCTGTGAGTCTGCCGCTGATTACGTGCCATGTCATTCGCTCAATCGCATCCGACAGGGAGTTTTGATCAAGCTGAAAGATCGTGCCGTACTGGCCTACACCCAGCACTCCCAAGTGCCATCTCCTACTGGAGTTCCATCGCTCGGAACAGACGAGCTGGCGATCTTTGGTGGTCAGAAACGTGTTCTAGCCCTGAAACCCAAGCACAAGCGCAAAAGCCAGACCCCCCGTAGTCCTGCGTCGCAACCTAGCCCGACAGCAATGTCGCTGAGTGTCAGCAGCACTGGTGACGAATTCTCGTGGTTGGACGAATTGATCGCCGTCAATCCAGCGACGTCATCGAGCCAAGATCTGAACATGTCCTTCGCCGGTATCCCAGAGGTATGTCATCGGGGACATCAGTCTTTGATTCATGCTCACATCTTCTCACAGGACATATACAATATGTTGTATCCCAGCTCGAGCTCCAACGTGATGCAGCCGAATATTCCCATGGAGACCGAAGCGAATCCTGCTTTGCTGGATCCCAATTTATTCTCAAATCCCGGGTACTATGGTTATGGGCACAGCTCGGGTCAAGGCGGTGCGATGGTAGAGCTGGGACTGACCAGTGAATCCGGAATGGACGACGGGTGGTCTTCATTTATCCAGCAGTGCGGTGTCACGCTGGGCGAAAGTCCTCCGACAGGGGCGAGTATGTGAACCCCAGTTTCTGTCGTTGCCTGCGCATGTAATGTTATGTTTTGTATTTTTACCAGTTGCGAGGATGGCGATTCTGTAAATTTTGCCTGCCAATAAAACATAAACGTGCTGTTTGTACGTGACTTACCTGGCTCGCTCGTTTCCATGGATCTCAGCATTGGTTGTTCTGTATCTTGTCGATGTCTGCACCTTCATTTCCTTCACTTCCACCGACTTGCGGCCCAGTGACCCCAGTCGAAGCATGCACATTGCAGGACCTCGCTAGCCGACTACGGCAGACGTTTGTCACCTCTGTTAAAGCCGGGTTCTTATATTCGGCTTCTCAAGCACACGTGTCAAGTCGCTAGTGGTGATTGAGCCGCATCGGGCCGTGTGCCGCCGCACGGCACATGGTAGCGCGGATATTAATATATTAGGCGGCTCTGATTTTGTGGAGTTCTTTACTGATCTGTATTTGGTTCTGAGTTGCATAACACCCAGTCTTTGTTGTCTGATGAGAGGTCGAAACTATTCGAGGACCTCCGATACAATAGCTGCTCAATTTCAGACTCATTCCGCAGTGATTCGACACCTCACCTAAATTGAGAATGCGTGGGTGAAATGGACAACTCTAATAGATAATCGTTTCATCAACTTGCTCAATTAGGCAATCAAGGCAAGTTTGATTGTCCATCAGCGCTCTATTTCTGCGCATCACAGGGCGCAAAAAGGCAATGAGAAAGCGATTGGATCGGCTGCTGAAGGGTAATTACGTAAGATCTATCTTGAATGTAACGTTCAACATCACTCACCGGACTTCTCGCTTTATATGGTTCCTTGGTCCCCATGATGATGGTCAATCGAAGGTCGGACGGGCCAACGCATGGGATTCTCGCTGCAAGTTTCATCAGGCCGACATCAGGGGATCCCAGTCCCATGTGCAGTCTGCGATGATTACAAGCGGGTGTTCATCTATGTATCTGTCTCTTTCAATTCAAGTTTCCTCGACTCCGCGGGTCCGATTGCTGGCTGCGGTCCATTGACAGCGGGGACGGAGGGCGAATGTTAGCGGTTTGAACATTTTGCGAGCATGACGGGCGAGATTGCGATTCCCACCTGGCCGGCCATCTTTTTTGAAAGATGGAATGATATCAGTCGGATATCAGGGCATGAACACAAGCCAGCGGCGAACTTCGCCATGGGGACTGACGGAGCTACATCCTGTTTCGGTGCACCGATGCTTGCATGTGTTGCCCTGAAGCCGCCGGCTTTTTGACATTCACTTGATTCGACATCGGACACTGCATGGCATAACGGCTACCTTAGCATCATTGTCACCGCTCCTTCTCCTTCCTCTTGTTCTCTTTCCTTGACTACAACCCGCTTCATTCTATGCCTGCACGAACTCTCCCTGGATTGAACTTTGTGAGCCGAATCTGCTAGCGTCGCTGATCGACCTCACTGACGCGTGGAAGATCGTCGTCGGTGCATCCGTAGCCGGTTCGTTGTGCATCTCCAGCAGCGCGCCTTCCCGCTTACCATCTCGCTTTGTTCTCAGGTCTAACCTGCGCCATCGGCCTCAAGAAGTCTGGACACAGCGTTACCGTCCTAGAACGAGAACCGTGTCTCTCCGGTGCAGAATCGGTATACAGCTCATTCGCGACTATTCGATGTCACTGACACGCGTCTGACAGATTCCCAGTGGTGCTGCAGGGTGAATGGATTATGCCAGGAACGACATCGCTTGCCCCCAATTAACGACTGACAGCGTCCCTCCCAATGGCTGCAAGGTGCTATTCGACTGGGGACTTGAGAAAGACGTCATGGAAAACGCAGTCGCAGGGCATGGATTCATGATGTACTCCTGTCCGTCATCATCGCTTGCGAACGATAATTCTATGTCTGACCAGCGACAGACGATCCTTCCTCCAAAGGAAAGGGAGAGCGAGATGCTATGGGTTAGCTTGAAACCTTTGTCTCCCCGCGTTCAGATATGCTCACCGGGTTTCAGGTGTCAATCTATGGGACCCGGAGCTCATGGAGAGCGCACGCGGGGAATTTTTACAAATGAAGGTTCGTCGTGTGGCTCGTAACGAGCCAACTACCTAGCTGATCTCCCCTCTCCTTCAGCACCGTGTGCTTCTTCGCCTATTGCACGACCTCGCCATCAAGCCCCCAGCCCCGTCTGAAGGCACGGTCACGATAGAATTTGACGCAGAGGTCACAAGTATCGAGTCGGACGACACAGGATGCAATGTCATATTAGCTTCTGGCGCGGTCTTCGCCGGCCATGCTGTGATCGGGGCGGACGGATCGACAGGGTTCGTTCGGAAGTATATCCTGGAGGAGGAAATTGAGGATTCGGGTGCTGAGTGTGTTGACGCTGACACAGACCTCTGCGCATATAGGTGAGTAACCTCGAGTGAGTGAATTCACCGGTTGCTGATATACCATCAGCATGTTTGTTCCGAGAGCAATAGCTGAACAAGATGAAGAATTAAAGGAATTGTACGATTCCCCCAGGGTGAGCTCAGTCCTCCTTTAAGCCTTGACGAATTCCACTCAGTAAAACAGAGTAACATGGTCTCCGTATATTTCGGCAATCAACGAGGTAGAGATGATCTCCATCTTTATCTTATCTCGCTGACCAAGGATCAGCTGCCAAAGTTTTCCTTAACGGTCAAGAAAGAGACGCATATTTATGGTTGTATACCACCGACGGTCAACAAGAAGGGTCATGGACCCGTCCCGGCGTGAAACCCGAGATTGAGGCCGTTGAGCCTGCCGACCCTGTGTAAGTCTATCGACTGTTATCGTCTTTTTCACGACAGGCTCAAGAATTACAGAATAAAACGAATTTACGAAAAAGCGGCCACTCCTCTCCGGTTCCCGATGAAGCAACATCACGTTTTGGACTCTTGGGTGTCTCAAAGTGGAAGAATCATCGCTATTGGGGAAGCTGCGCACCCGTTTCCAGTCAGTCCTGACGGTTATACATGCACAATTTCCTTCTGTGTTTACCAATACGCAGCCATTCTCATTGCACACCATTTCCATCGCCATCGAGGACGGTGCTTTCATGGGGAAAATATTCTCCCACACTCGGAATCCAGAGCGCATCCCAGAGTTCTTATATGCGTTTGAAGAGAACCGGTGCGACAGTGGAGCCGTTGCCACGCCAGATGGGGATGCTGATCAACGCATAGGAAACCGCGCTGCGAGCATATCTTGCAGGCGGAGCAGATGCAGCTACAATATTTCACGCTTCCCGATGGCGACCAGCAGCAGGAAAGAGATGACAAGTTCCTTGCTAACAAAGCTGCCGGAAGAAACGCCATGAGCTCGCCCGATGAGAACATGCAGGAGATCGTCGATGACTTGAGAGTAATGTCGGTGGTCCTATCTACTCTTTGCTCATTCTAGTCTGATCCATTGCGCAGATTTGGTTATGAGCCCACTGACGAAGCGGATGAATGGTGGATGTCGTGGGGTAGATTTCAGGAAGATTCGTCTCAGCAGCAGAATACGATGGGCAGGATGGATATGTCGCAGGCTTTCAAGGAACAGTGGGGCGCTGCTACGACAGTCAGAACCGAGTGATTATTTATATAGATTGCTGCGAACTCGCTTCTAACTTGTCATCGTCGCTGCTGCCCAGTGCCGCCCGTAGACCTTGGATATGGACCCGAGCTCTGACGCCCCGCATATGGTCGCGGTCTGTCCAATAGCATATGTATGCACTGCAGTTCGATCGATGTTTCGGTCATCACCGCCACCCCCTACGACCTAGGTCGCCCATCTACCATCTGCCAGATTGTTGACTGAGATATTCTTGCAGACTTCTCATGCTTTAGATTGTCACTGGTCATTCAAATGGGTCCTGAAGGGTCTGGGAACTTGGAAACCACTGTGGTTCTAACCGTTCCCCATCTCTGTCAACGATCAATCGATCCGGTCGAAAGCACTCCCCAGATTAAGATCTTTGACTGCTTAACATCTACACTGATGATCTCCCTGTTCTATTCTACATCGCTCCCGTGCGACGTATGTTTGACCGGCTTGTTGCTCATTGCAAGCTGTAGAAGGCGTCTGGACTCATCTGCGAGTCTGGCCCCGGACCCAAAACCGGACTTTCGGGTTCTTGACTTCAGCCAGATGAGCGACCGATTGTCGCATCTGGAAGAGCTATCGCGCCGTGTTCTGTGCTTCTTCGAACGGTCGCAAGAGACCCTAGACGCGTTTTCCTTATCTCGTATCTTCTACCTCCGTGGCTCCAAGTTCAAGGTTCAACGGCAGCAATGCTCTCACGATGTAACGCGCGTCGCGAGGGCACGGAATATATGGATTTCACCGACGGTCCCCGAATCTCGTCTCACTTGATGTGTTATCTGTCCGTCGGAAAGCTGGCCACGTATTTCGTAGAGTCGCTTCTGCGAGCCCACTCTTCTGGACTTGGACAAAACGTCCGGGTCGGGAACTTTGTCTCTGCTAGAGCTGCCTAGTTTCTCTCTTCGGCTATGATTTCCAACTCTTGTTCGCAGACGTCTTGTTCTAATCACATTCCCCGTCGGCGCCGATCATCTCTCTTCGTCATTTACAAATCAGCGAAATCAATCATTTTTTGAGGCAGAAGCTCACATACAGTATGTCTGTGTCGAGGCCCATCTGATTCATCCTGATTTGCAACTGGATAGTAGCGCGTATACGATGCGTGGAAGCCTTGACCTGGACCTGGATATGTTCGGCGCATACTCATCTGTCAGTGTGGCCTCGCTTTCGATTTCGACCGGGTCTCCCGTGTTTGACCCCGGCCTGGAATGATAACGGACAGACCAACAGCCTCCTCAGTCTCACGTCGCGCATGGTCGCGTTTCATCACCCGTGACTCTCACGCGCATCGTCCTCCAGCTCGCTTCGGGAGTCCGCGTTTGAGTATCAAGATTCCGACCCTTGTTATCAGCTCAAATTCTCCACAAGTCTCTGCGACGCAGTGCTCAGAGCAGGGACAGCCTCTTGCCTCGAATCTTTTCAGTCAAAGTGCGGCTTTCATGATTGGAATGGAATATAAAACGAGTGAATACCGCCCTTCGGTACCCTCAGCAGTCTTTTTGATCGCGTCCACTCAAACATTGCTCCCTTATACACGGACTCCTCTGCTTTCCTGGACGGCTCAATCACTGCTCTCAAGGCCCAATGATGCAGTAGCACGAGCCTGGCGATCGTGAACCATGAGCTCCGTTTTCGTCTGGAAGGGATGCGAAGATATATGCCCCTTTACCGGCCACAGCCCGCCTCTCGACACGGACCGTTCGTTGTGCTCCTCATTGCCACTGCTCAGTTTGGTCCTCCCAACACTCCCAACCGTTATGCTCATGCATCAGCCTTTCCACTCAGACTTGGATTGGATGCCAACCCGCAGACGGCAACCGTGCTTCGTCGTCGCTCGTTCCCTAGTGGATTCTCTGCCTCACGGGACGATACTGGGTTCTTCACATCACTCGTTGCTGATATGGTGACGATTTAGATCCGCGTCTCTGGGAACTGCACCGCGACATCTCCTCGCACGACCTGGACCGCGGTGCTCATTCCCAGCGGAAGCTGATTCGCTGTACTCGGCGCTGTTTTCACGAGTTCATGGACGCGACGGTGGATAGATATCTTGTTCATGGATTTGCCATGCGAGTCGTAAACAGTGAGACAGGTCACAGAATGATCTCATCGATACAATTACGAAGGGTGATCGTTCATATGAATGTCGATCATCACATGATCAACTATGATCCCTCCAGACTTGTTACCTACCGCAACAGCGTTAGAACAGCGCCTCAGCCTTGCTGCAATATGACCTGCCTCCTGCACGAAAGATCCTCCCGATCTACACACGCAAGTCATGCGTATCCTCGATGGGACAAGTCGTTTTTTATAGAGGACGATCTGTGTCGATCCCATCCTCGCTCTCTTTGCCCCACGTCCGAACTTCGATGTTGGCCACCCTAGGTGCGTTAGAAGGAAATTCGAGAGGAAAAGGATCCGATCCGCCGCAGCGTTCATTCCGCGATACTGTCTTTTCCTTGTTGTATTCCTTCTCTGTTACGCTCCATCGCGACTCTCCTACGCCCGGCCTGCCTTTCGAGCCTCTGAAACCGTAGTCGAACGAGACTCTGTTTCTGACGCTGGTCTGGATTCCGCACACTGGATATGGACGAATCCTTCTGCGACAGGCACTATCGCCGTTCTGCGTGGCTACGCCACCCCCACTGGCCGAACCGCATCCTCAGCGACCATACACCTCACAGTTGTGAACAGTTACACTCTTTGGGTCAACGGGAATCAGACCGCCCACGTCGATAGGGGAGCGGATGGCTGGAAGTCCGTGCAAACCTTCTTCGCCCCGCTCGCCGCATCGTGGAACACATTCTCCATCCTGGCGGTGAATGATAACGACACGGGCAGCCCGCCCCCGGGGCTCCTTGCGGCAATCAAGCTCGAATACACGGAAGGATCCCCAGAGATTCTTGTGTCGGACAAGGCGTGGTCTGTCTCCACTAGTGTGCCGAACGGCTGGCCGTTGCCGCAGGATACGTCGAGCTTCGTGTTCGCCAGTGAATTAGCTCTCTACACGGCTGGAGAATGGGGAAGCAGCTTGACTGTCCTCCCTGCGGGCAGCGTTCCCCCGTCGAACTCTGGAAGCACACCCAATTCTGCTCCTGCTCCTGTGCCTGCAACACAACCCAGTCCTCAGCTCACAACCTCAACCACAACCCAGCCCGTCGCTACCACCTTGCATACAGCGACTTCAACTGCTGATATCAGCACCAGTAGATCGGGAGATGCCATATCAACAACATCTGCCCATCCCACATCGACCACGACGATGATATCCTCGCCTACATCTTCTGTTTCTTCTGTTTCATCTGCACACTCAACATCGACGCAGGGTGCCGATGGAGTCAGTACCACATCGGTTTGGATATCGTCAACCTTCCTTTCTCAAACGGCCAGTTCATCGATGTCCGCATGGAGTGCACTGAATACTGCTTATCCATCTTCGACTCCAGCGCTCCAATCTTCCGTTACAAGGCACCGTCCTTCCGCAGCACTCCTTGGCGGGATAGTCGGAGGTTTGATGGGCTGTGTCATCGCCGTGCTGATGATATCACGATATTGCAAGCGCAAGCAGAATCATGGACCAGAGTCGAACTCGGTGGATCGAATAGGAATTGTTCCACGCAACCAAACCACGCTGTTAATGAGGCGCGGTCCTCTAGAGCGACAGGTGTCGCCATTTGTCATCGACCTGAGCCATCCTCCTGCGATGCCCGAAGTGACTTCCAAGAGGTCGGAAGCACCGCTAGCGGAGGCAGCCGCGTCTGGAGACTCGACAAATGTTGCGCCCCCTAGCTATTTTGCATAAACTGTGAATGCAAAAGGCGGTGTTACATTGCCGGTGGTTACAGAGATGTAGATGATACAGATTGAGGTCGTTTCCGACCATTTCAAACCCCCAACATCACACATCATATACGACTCGGCCGGCGGTCCAAGCGTAAGCATACTTGTGATGATACCAGTTACGAACACTCTTGCGCTCGGCGAGACGGGGGATCGTAGCATATGACCCGCCAAGCTACTTGGGGATCAGATCGAGCGGAGAGAAAAGAGATGGAACGCACCACAACACGATGGTTCTCGTCAAAAAAGTCTGCAGAGTACCCTGGGTACAACTTGGACGGCACAAATCCGTCGTACCGGTCGAACACGGTAGACGTCCATTCCCAGACTCCGCCGTTGCTGCCCCGCCGACCGTTGCCAGTGGTGGCACTGCAGTTTGAAGATCAGGCTGCGTCCCATGACCCGGAACATGCACTCACGGGACAGGATGCCAGTTCCGGAAGCCGACGTTTTCTCCTCCCCCGTGCCCAGCCGAGAATTTGGCGTTGAACAACCGGAGCTCGGCCTCAGTGGGCAGGCGACCGCCCTGGACGACAGCGTACTTGGAGAGGTTGGCATACGACGTCAGCACGGGCCAGTTCTTGGCGATCTTCATTGGAATGGGCCCATAGAGAGTGCGGACCTAGTCAAGTCAGCACCAGCATAGACGAGATCGGCTGCGGACACACCCGCATCTCCCCGTCAACCTCGACCCAGCTGGCAGGCAGAGCCACATCTTCACTGGTGGTCGTCCAGAATCGATAGAACTGCCCGTTCGTCACAGGGCGCCACTCGATCCGGAACTGGCCCACTTGCGTCTGGCGTTTAGGATGCTCGTTATCCTGTGGCAACATTCAAAAACTGGCGGTCACACTGGGACCATGGTCAATCACCCAGCCAAACTCATGGTCGCCGGCGACTGCGTCATCCTCATCCTCGAGATCATCATGCCCATACACAACCATCTCGGGCCCCAACACGATGCTGGAATTGTGTGGTGCGGGCTCCGAGTCCCACTGTTCGGCTAGAGACTCCCAGGGCGGAGTCACAAATCCTGAAGGTGGGAGCGTCCCGCTCCCAGCTCTCTGCAATAGCATGTACAGCAACGTCTCTGCATGCATCGCCTCGTGTTCCAATGTCATGAAGAGCACCCGGCCGACTTTGCGTGTCAGGGCCAACGCGCCTGAATCGATTTTTTCGTAGATCTTGAGCACCCGGGCGCGTACCCGGGCTTGGAATCGAAGGATCTGCATCATAGTCGGCCACTCGCTTTCGTTTTGTGGGACTGCCGAATGAGGCTGGAAGAATAGTAAGTAGACGGTAGGTACAGTTTCGTGATGGCGCACATGGCACATGTTTGGGTCGTCGACATCGGGGTCGATTCCACGCTGGATGGGTATGAGGATTTGCTTGGAGATATGGAAGATGATGATACCTCAAAAATTAGCTGGATGGGATAGTGAGTTCCCCTTCTAGATCAGGATTGGAATGAGACGAACCTTGAAAGACTCGGGTTCAGTGTGAGGCTCTTGGAGGAGCTTGGACAAATGGATATCCAAGAAAGTCGGGATATGGCCGAGGTAGAACAGACAAATGTGCCTCAGATCGATCGGTTTCTGCATCAACATGGAGGATGGGATCATTCGGCGCGTGATAAAATCCCATGCCGCCCAGAGGTTCTGCCACTCTTCTGGTGAAGGCACACCGAATGGAGAGGTCGAATATAACTTCTTCGGCACGAGTTGGCCCCGAGAGTCGCATGCGTGGGGTGATGATAATAATGGAAACGTAAACAGCGGCCGTTCAAGCAGCCAAAGTGAGTAACGATGAGTGCTATCAGTCCAGCGCTGAATCACTCGCAAGCTGCTCTCGGAGAAAAGAGTGTAAGCGTCCGCATCGGAAAACTAGCCAAGATTGAAAGCTGAGTGGGACCGGAAAGCAAGCCAACAAACCTTGAACGACTCTTCGATCTTGACCTTCTCCCCCATGGAAAAGCAGACTTCTTCGGGGAGCATCACTGTATGAGAGCGCTTCGCTTGCAGAAAGGCTTCGTGCCGCCGGTCGGTCACGTCGTAATTCTGATTTGAGGCTTAGAGATAGTGCGGTAGTGTGCCGAAGGTTGACTCACGTTGACATATTCCCAATTATCTTCATCGAACAAATTTTCATCCCCGATCGCTCTGCCAGCCGTCTTGAGACCGTTCAAGATGAACTGCTTCGTATAGCCCCGGCTGTCATTGTAAGCTGCTTCAATCATAGCCTTCTCATTGTCATGATCCAGGCCGATCAGAAGGGTGTCCCCGGATCCAGGCCGGAGAGGCAATGAGCGGAGGAAGGTCGCTCCCTCAGACCGTGAGAAGTTGCCCAGAGATGAGCCCAGGAACATCAGGTGCACCGGTGGAGGAGTGTCATCTGGAGTCGAGGGTGGCGATGTCGCTGCCTCGGACGAGCCACTGCCAGACGAGCTCGGAGGAGAGACATCGCGCACTGCCCGGAAATCGTGCAACGAGAATGATCGGCGGGAGTTTGATTGGTGTTGGCGATTGCCACGAGTGTGCCACAAGCCGCCAGAATGCGCAAACTTGAGTCCTTGGTCATAGGTCGCACACAATCCACGCGTCTCCACCTTACCCTCCAGGCTCTTTCCCACGGCCGAAGTACTGATTTCGCCCAAGGTGCGCTCGAGCTCACGTTGTTCGAGATCCAAGGCGAAGTACGTTATGGGTGGGATGTCCGAGTCTGGCGTGGTTTCGACGAGACGAGCAAGGGCTAGAAGAACGTGGGACGTTTTGCGTAGTGCACTGAGGTTTGATGTCAGCTAATGCCCAGAATAAGACCCGAAGCTCGGAAGGAGAACATTGCTCAAGGAAAGAGGACATGTGTGTCAATCAATCATCAGACCCTGCCGGGCCGTCCTTGTCGTCATGTCTTACTACGAGCAAGCGCTCACGCGGGAGATAGAATAGGAGGAAAAGCTCACCCAGCGCCCAGCTGTCGCGGTCTCAGTCAGCATCCCATGATGTGTCGGAAAACAAATCGGCTGACCTCGAGAACGACTTCGTTGTCGAAGACGCCACCCGTGCCTCGATGCATTGCGGCCACAATCTCATCTGATTTGTTCTTCAAGATCTCCTCCTCAGCGCCGAAGAGGTAGTATTCTGGGGCGTTAGTCGTAATGTCGTCGTACAGTCTGGGATCGGACGTCAACGCCCTGCAGCTGGAAGAGGAGAAGTCGATCGGACCTCAACCCGCGCTCGTCGTAGAGCAGCATGGTCGGGAGATGCTTGGGGCCAGAACTGAGCAGTCCGGCGCGCACCTGTGCTGCCATATTGCCAGTCACATCGTCGCCTGCGTCGCGCAGTATGTTGGTGATCTGAATAGACATGATGTCGAGGAACAGATGCCCAGTGTCGGTGGTAGTAGCAGGACGAAAGACGAGCTGCTTCGAATTGGATTCCTTGGGTCTCGATTCAAGCCCTTCCTTATAAATGTGCACTCCTACTGGGGATCCGAATCGGCATAGAACCCCTTTCCGACGAATGACATCACGAAAGAGTCAACGGCGAGTTGCCTTCTCTGATCGCGGCATCGCACATGGGAGGCAGCGCCCAATTTACATATGGAAATCTGCTGTAACGTGCATGTGCGTGGAGGCCCGAAAGGAGGCGAGTAGCTTATCAAGCGCGGTGATTGTCGTCTTCAGATGCGAAGGACATAGCATTTTGATGTCGAGGGGGGAGGAACCGGGAATGACGGAGAAGAGCTCCCTAACGCCACAGCAGCCTCCATCTTATATACCGATCCCATTGAGCTCGTAATTATCGCGACATCTCAGTGCAAGTTTTCGCCATCGCAGCCAAACTACTTTCCCTGCTGCAAATAGAGAGTTTTGGCCGCTCTTAGTTCTCAAGTTGCCTCAGGCTAAACGGCACGACGCGGACTCCGTTTTACCGGTTCAAGAAATTCACAACGTTTCATTCATTTGTACCATTCAAAGCCATTGTACTATTGTCGAGTAACTCAAATCGGCAGTGGAACTCCTTGGTCCTTGACTGGAGGGTTTGCCCCGGATCCTACCATGACGTGAGCTCCGACACTCGTCGTCTCTCCAATGCTGACAAAGATGAACGCTAGAATGACGGCCATCAGCTCTCGTTCTCGGTCAGATCAACGCCGGACCGACCTGGACCAGGTGGGTAGACGCGATTGTTCGGTGGGCTGAGCACAGTCAGAGAACGTTTATCCTTGGACAGCGCGGCGTCCATGAAAACGAGCCGGGCGCTTGAGTGGAATGCATGTGACGAGAAGCCGAGATCCATCAGAGCCACTGGAACCTCGGAATCAGAAGCGAGTAAAACTATGAACGGAGGATGAGGACCTTTGACGGATGCGGTGGAAACGCCAGCAGGCACGCTGATTTGGATCGTGAACTGCCAGCAGTGAGAAAATGTTCGAACTCTGGTGAAGAACCTACATTCTGATTGAACCCGATGTGAGTGGGAACGTTGGCCAGGGTGGGTCGGGCCATCGACATAAACGGGGGGTCGAGTGTCTGAATCCGAAACTCCCTGGGAAAGAATTAACATCCATGTGGGAAGGCTGAGCACAAAGAACTTACGAAGAGAATCCTGGCTGTCCTGGAGGCACAACTGTGACATTCGGGTTGGGATTCGATCCACCGAGAAGGATGTTCCTGCCAAACGATCAACCACCTCACACTGATGTATGGAGTAGCACCACTTACCCTTGAGGCGTGAGCGTGACCGTTGAGTGATACATGCGGGCAATGTCGGTCGTTGGAAGCCCTGCTTGAGACATGCGCCGGCCCAATGGTGCAGAAGGTGTATAGAGAATTGGGGTGAACCTGATGTTTCCGTCAACTGCCACGGTGTCTCGTCACAAAGACGTGCACTCACACTGGATGGTCAGCGTTCGAGTTCCCGGTCGTCGTGCCAATTGAGCTTAGAGCAGCATACCCAGTCTCCCCGCCGTTGATGATGACGACCTGACCATTAGGCATGATGATCATCTCTGGCATCATACGACCTTGGGGCATGTGGTCGACTTCCCAGCCCTTGGCGATACCGGCCGGTGTCAGAGTGATACGGCTGCACTGCGAAGAAGCGGGATCTTGCGACGAGAGTTGCTCTACGGGGGTTTGATCGCTCTTGTCTGATCCACCGCACGCGAGCACCTCTGGAATGTAATCCGGCGGAGACAACGGCAGAAGCTGAGCGGTCCCGTCCATAGGATTGGTGATTCGAACGCCATTGGGCAGGTCGGGCAAGATGGTCTCTGTCTTCGCCTCGATGTCATAGATGATGGACTGGTTGCTAGCAATCATGAACACTTTGCCGTCAGGTAAAGCAAAAACACTGGAGAATTTCAGATGCCGAAAGTGGCCTAATCGTGAAGCTCACCGAGGAAACAGATTGGCGGGAAGGGTGCGCTCAAGGAAAGCGGAAGGTCGTGGGACGCCACCATCTTTAGACGGGAAAAATTCGAAATTGTTCACAGGATCTGTCCGAACACATGAACGAGAGACTGAGAACAGCGAATGCGATCGCCTTACCAGTGTTGTAGAAAGGTGTGCCTTCATGTATGCCGCCGACGATCATCTAATCAATAGTTACACACCTAAAGGCAAAGAGACAGAATAAACGCACCAAGGACCCATCGAAGATCCGCAGAGACGAGGGGTACCAACGAGTTTCAGCCAGATGAAGGTGCTCCAAGTCCTCGAACACACTGCAGCCGGCTCCGGCAGGAGGGTCAAGACATGGCCCAAACAGCCTGAGACCCATCCGACCGTCCACCGCCCCAGTCTGATTGAGATCGGCAGGCTCAGGGATGTGCCCGCCGACGGAGACCATCGTGCCGTTGCTGAGAAGCGCCCCCGAGGCGCAGAAAGAATCCGACACAAGCTTCAGCGGGGTTCCGGTATTGGTTTCCAAGTTCCAAAGCTCGCCCCATGCCGTCTTGCCATCTGCGGTCTTGAGGGGGTCGTTCGTCGCGCGGTCGAAGAATACGACGAGCTTCGGGGACACCACGATCGCTTCGAGCGCGACGATCCCAGAGACACCCTTTTCAACAAAATTCCAGGCAGGAGATGGCGCCGCAAGGGCGGATAAGACGACAACGGCGAGTGTTGTGAATGTGGTTTGGAGCACAGTACCCATGATGTATGCAGTACGTATTCAGGGCTCGACACGGTCACTTAAAAGGCGGTTCTGTGGGAACGCCAGGGATTACTCAGTCAGGAAGTCGTCCGACCGTGGAACTGCGACACGAAGTACTGAGCGTCGTCCTGGTCATGCCTGCAACCTCACTGGTTTTCGCAAACCCGACCGGCCTCGTGCCCTGTTCTCTAGCTAGTTCCCCAGAAGCAAGTTCTCCGCAAGGGACGGGAAATGTGTGCAAGAAGCAACTGGAGAAGTGCCGGGTATGAATGCATCCCGGCCAAACCCTGAGCGGCAATGCAATAGTGTATGGGAGGCCCGTAAGATTCGCGTTCATGGAGATACGGATTGGATTGGACCCGAGATCAAGTGCGCGTTTGCTTGTCCGAGCATGAGAGTGTACAAAATTAGCGCTTATGGAACTGGATGGAATGCATAGGAGGAAAGTTGAAGATGAGAGTGTGACAGCGGCGGCAATTGGAGTGCCCGACACGTGAGCGCAACTGTAATCATGATGGTCAACTACGGTCGGGCATTGACTTCAAAAACGAACCTTCGAGGATTTACAGCATGGCTTTTTTGACGTATGCAATGACTCTCATGCCTCTAGATCGGCAATGAGATCCTCTCTTCTTGCATCGGAGGATTATCCTCTGGAACTAACCATCGCATGAGCACTCGCACTGGCCATCTCGTCAACGGTCATTTCTGTCGAGTTTGAATCATGCATCCCACAGATCAGTGATGTGCGACGTTATTACCTGGCCCCAGGGGTACGCGGAATTTTTCTATCCATGGGTGAGAACATTAAGTGCGCGCTTATCTTTGGACAGAGGCGGCCCCGAGCACTCGAATGGAGCCCATGGGAAGAGAAGCCGCGATCGGCGGGAGCCACCAGAAAGCATGGGTGCAGATCAGCAAAAGACGTACAGAGGCTATCGTTAACTGTCATCGGACATGAGTCAACGCGGCTAGACTAGGCGACTCAAAGAGCCTAAGCACACTCTGATTCTCGTAACCTTTTGGTAAGGGTCTCAGGGACTTCGTTCGTTTCAGCTATTGCCTAGCATCATATTCCCGTCATTCGTGAGCCAATGAACCGTTCACATGTAATTGTGATTTGTAGGGATCAGCGCAACGAAAGGGGAGAGGCCACCAATTTGGCAAACATGAGAAAAGTAAATAGCGTAAGTAAGCCCGGAGATGATCCGAACGTCAGTCCGATATATAGAAGATACTTTTGAGACGCAAAGGAAGAGATTTCCACAAGTCAAAATTTGTATTTCAAAAGAAGGCTAAAATGAGAATACACACCCAAATACTGAGAGAAGTTGAAGAAAAAAAATTGTTGGAAATTTCTGAAAATGCTACCAATTAACATGTTTTAGAGCTGGCTCTGAATATCAACAATCTGTGCAATGGGGGCAGTCCAATATGATGATTCAGCAACAATTTGGATGTTGATTCAAGAACAATTCAGGCCATCAGGAAATAAGACAACTGTGTATCAGCACTGATGGCGATCACGAGATCATCAACAATGCTGATACATAGATGCAGCTCATCAGCTGCTCACAAGCTGTGCTGAGTCTGTCACTGGACTTGTCAGTAGGCAAGCAGTCTTGCTTGTGGTCATCAGACTACTTGGTGTTGGAGCAGCCAAAAGTAGACTCATGGGCCTCTCATCCATTAATATTAGCATGGCTAGTTTTCATGAGTACCAGACAGCCAATACAGTGACTATTAGTAAGGACTCTCTGGGTTGAAAATATTGTGACAATTCAATTTGAGTACATAGTTGTCATAGTTTGGCCACTTTTTCATCTTATCATCAACGATCTTATCTTATCTTGGCACAGGTTATCTCATCACGGATCACGGCATCACACAGTCCAGACTAGGGGCCCAGGGGGATATCTCTATCAATTCAAGGCTGCACAACATATGCTCCAGAAGGTTCTACTACAACCCATGACCAGCGCTCCATGCGGTACATAACCTTGTGACTCATTAGTTGTAGATATGACTCAGACTGGATTTGGGTATAAATACTGTAGCTACTTGGTTGTATTCTCCAGTCTTTGAATTCACTTCTCTTTTCAACTTTGTTTGTGGGTTGATTGTCACATAATTTGAAGACTCCCCTCATACCCTCCTACCTCATACCTCTTACCGCTGCATCCCTCGCCGCTATGCCCGCTATATCCTCTTCACCCTTTTACGGAATCATCTAGTTGCTCTCTGCAATTGCAGTGAAGGGTTCATATCAAGCAAACTGCACCAGGTCACAGGTAACGTTGAGCCTGACCCAAGCCTTACGGTAGCTACAAGGAGTGCTGCAGAGACCTTCAGGAAAACGCACCTCGGGATCATTGGGCACGTGAAGAGCTAGGCCCGGGATCTTTTTGCTAGCAAGAGAACCTTTCCTCGAGTGCTTGTACAGCACACAAATCCACCATTTTGTACCGATTCCTATTGTCGTCTGGGAGTCTGTCTCCTCCCCCCATCATACTATCATTGCCCAATCTAGTGCATCAAAATCAACCAGGGCCCTCTGATCCTTACCTTGCCCTCCCGCCTCCTGAAGACAAGATCCCTGACCTTGACAAACTGCCCTCTGAACAACCACCCACACCTCTGCCTACCACACCCGCTCGTACCATGATGGGACATTGCATCACCCTTGCCGCCAATCCCCCCTACTTCGATGGTAACAAGTCCAAGTATCTGGGCTTTGTGGACTTGGCATCACCTACATCGGTGCTTATTGGTCAGAATTCCCAAAGGATTCCACAAGAATCCTCTTTGTCCTCTTGTGACAATCAACTCAAAAATAAAGTTGAAAAGAGAAGTGAATTCGAAGACTGGAGAATGCAACCAAGTAGCTACAGTATTTATACCCAAATCCAGTCTGAGTCATATCTATAACTAATGAGTCATAAGATCTATGTACTGCATGGGGCGCTGGTCATGGGTTGTAGTAGAACCTTCCAGAGCATATGTCGCACAGCCTCAAATCAATAAAGATAATCCCTGGAACCCCTAACCTGGAACGTAGGATGCCGTGATCTGTGATAGGATAACCTGTGCCAAGATAAGATAAGATCGTTGATGATAAGATGAAAAAGTGATCGAACTATGACACCTCTCCTACCTTTGCAATGAGGCAGGCACCAGCTGCGCCGCTTCAAGGTGGGCAATAAACTGGAAGCAGCGCAACTTCAAGGGATTCCAGGGGCTCAAGGCAGGAGTCCCCACCAAGGACTTCTTATCAGAGCTTCAAAGGGCTTTTTAGGACTCAAATGCAAAGCAAGTTGTTGCCGCTGCTCAGCTCATGGCCCTGCGCCAAAATAAGCGGTCCTTTGCAGACTATATCTCCAACTTCAAAATGTTGGCAGTGGATGCGGGATACAATGTGGTCACCACCACCGATGGCCAGGGCAAGTACAAGAAAGGGGATCAGGACAACATTCTGATTGAGTTCCTTGAGTGTGGACTCAGCAGCAAGATTGCCAGCTGCCTCTACAACACCGGCGTTCCTTTGCCCAAGGCGTATAATGCTTTCAAGGACTGGTGCATCAACATTGAGGCAAATGCTCTGCGTGATCAACTGTGCAAGGCATTAAATGGACACCCCACGCAACAACCACCACCCCCCCCCCCCCCCCCCCCAATTCCGTCCTCAGGCTGCATCAGCGGCACCTGCACCTGCTCTGGCCTGACCAGCTGCAAACAAACCGGTTCCAATGGAAATCAATTGCACCCACGCCCGCAGCCGCAATATCATCTGCTACAACTGTCAGCAGCCTGGGCACACTGTGCAGAACTGTCCAAAGCCAAGGAAGAAGCACATGTTCTTCAATTGGGCCACAATGCTTGGAAGAAATTGAGAACGGGGACAAGGACAACAAGTTACTCAAGGAGATTGCTGAGAAGCTGCGCAAGAAAGGTTTTTAAAGTGCTCCACTCCCCTGGCCAAGGAGGTGGAGCATCCAGACTATGGACATTTTTCTGTACTTGTTTCAATTATTGCAATTTGAAAAATTGATGTCTTCACCCAAAAAAGAAAATATATCTTGTGTGTGTCTGGCTTCGTCGTGAGGTTAGGTTAGAAGTGTACAGCCACGCAAACACGCTCTCACTCTTTCCGCCGGTGCCATGGCCCGCTATCAGGGCATCTACAATCCTTACGAAGTCGAGGAAGAGGAGAATGACTCCAATCTCGATGAAGGGGACTACTGGACGGGTTCCAACGACGGAAGTGGTCATGGGCAAGGAGATGGCAAAGAGCAGCCCCAGGGTGGAAGTGACAGAGGCGACGGTGTCCCACATGGGAACATATTGACAGGTGCGTATTCATGCTCCTTTTGCGCGGTGCCATAGCTGACTACCACTGTTCTGTAGTGTCCGAGCATAACATGGGTCGTGGAATCTCGTGTGACCTCTCCCTCAATTGACGCGTCCCCAAGAGTGAGAAGAAACGCAAGAACGCGCGCTCTGTGATACAATTGAAGCACACCTTCTTCTTCCACGAGCAATCATCACTCTCCGATGTCCTGGAGGCTGCATTCAAAGTTGCTGGCTGCCAGGATGTTCTTGCGTACAAAGTTGTCGCCTCAAAGCTTCGGACCACTGATTTCTCTATCGCGATGACTGCTCCCTTCACCAACTTCAAAGATTTCTCGGTCGACTGTGAGAAGGATCTGAAGGACATCATTGCTGCGATGGAGGAGAAAAACAAGAGCCGCGTGAAGCTAGACATTACGGAGACTCCTCCCCAGCCGGTTTGTCTACACCATTAGTCCATTGTATCTTCACTAACCATTTGTCATTCATAGGCTGCTGGTGCAAGCCAGGAACCTGCAGCACCCGAGGAAGACGAGGGTCCTGCAAAGAAGAAGGCATGTTACTGTTGACCTTTGCGCATACATCCACTATCTAATGTCATTCCTCAGCGTCAGATGTCACCTGAAGAGCTGGCTATTGCCGGGAAGGTTGCTGAGATTCAAATTGCCAACCGCTGTAACGATCGCACTTGCCGCAACCGGACCTGTTTTACAGGGAACGAACTTGCGACACATGTCAATGTCACTCCGATGTTAGCGCGAGTCTGGGCTGTGGCCTGGGTGCGATGTTCCATCACTCGGACTGTTCTCAGGCTAACAAGTATGCAGATTGACGAGCAGGAAGGTGTTACAGCGCAGACCCCTCCCGGGCCTGACATCGAGAAGGCATTTTGGCCACTCGAATCTGCTATGCACCAGAAGCCGGATACCCCCATTGACGACATCACACTTCTTGCATCCCGCCGGCTGAACTCCGCTCACAAAACGACATCTCCTTCTGTTACCATCAACAATGATTTTGCTGCATTTGCGACTCTTCTCCAGCCTCTCCTCCCTGCAACAGCACGAGCATCACAGACTCCTCCCTTGCCTGCTCCTACCTTGGCGGCTCCCATCCGTCTCGCTTCCCCTGCCAAACCCGCCTCAATGACATTTGAGACCTTTTGCAAAGCATTCAATCTTCCACCCGAGATCTTTCAGTCGCTTGAGGGTATCCAGATTGAGGGCCCACATATCCTTCCCTATCTCACGAATGAAGATCTTGACAAGTATCTTCCGTTGGGTCTGCGTGCATGTTTGCGTTATGCACAAGGCGAATGGAGCAAGGGCAAGGTCTTATCGGATGGATAATCGAATCAATACATTGTTCTCGTGTCTTTACTGTATCATGATCCAACTGTATCCTACTGCAATGTCCATAGCAATGATAGCAATCCATGTAGCAAGCACTAATCAAATCACTCGCTGTGTCGAAAGAAACCCCAGGTCATTTCTGGTGTAATGATCCTACATGCGTGATACAACTCCAGATACGCTTGTCTTGTAGAGAACGCCACCAATCCGATGCGTCGAAGGTGGGACTTGATAGCTGACCATGCTTGTTCGATAGGATTCAAGTGCGGAGAGTAAGGAGGGAGATATTCGATTCGGCAGCCTAGAGGAATGAGTCCATAGAGCGCCAGTCTGATGCTACGAGCGTACCATAATCCTCTACAAGCTGCTGAATATCGTCAGAATGGTGGATCCTGGCATTGTCAAGCACGAGAATGCTCCTGGGTGTCAGGGGAACCCCTGCTTTCGTCCGATCATCATGGGATCTCGCATGTGACCGCGCACGTGCCATCTGTCAAGCGTCACATGCTTCGGTCCGGACTTCTCTGCCAAGCGCGTCCACATGACACTCCGGCCCGCACCCCCATTGTTCCGACGGTCCGGCTCCCATTGTTCCCCCCGATCCGGCCCCTCATTGTTCCCTGGCCCCATTGTCTGGCGCTTCCATTGTGCTTGGTCATCCATTGTTCTGTAGGCTATATATAGTGGGCCCTGACAAGGAGAGTCCCCAACTCGGTTTCTCTTTGGACTCTCCCTTGTCAGGTTTGCCAGTCTCCTGTACTAGTCGATCCCCTTATCTGACGCTTTGGACTCTCCCTTGTCAGGACTCTGAGATCGGGCCTCGAGGTTGCCCTTACAGCAGAAACCAAGTTCCTAGGGATAACTGGACAAGCTTGTGAAGACCGCCGATAGCGTCATACACCTCTCACTTCCAATCTTGTCCCCTCCTCCCCCTCTACGATCATCATGTCCTACATGGAAGAAGAAGACCACGGGTCCTCCCCTGAGCAGCGACTTGGTAATCTAGAGGAAGCCATGCAGCGAATAGAGGGACTCCTCAACAACTTCATAATCGAACAACAACAGCCTGCCCCTGCCCCTGTCCCATCTCCGGCAGCGGGTCCAGGTGTATTTACTGGCCAACAGGCCAGCTCGAGACCCCTCATCCGCCCCAATCCCCCATTTGCGTTTGACGGAGATCGCACCCAGGGCAAGACGTTTCTCCATTCCGTCAAGCAGTACTGGCGCCTCCTCCCTGAGGCCTTCCATGTGAACGGGGTAGTATCAGAAGAGCGGGTGGTACGTTTTGCCCTCTCCTACATGTCCAAGGACTCGGCGGCCTCCTGGTCAGAACGCATGTCGGAGCGCCTCGTCTTCCCGTTTCCGACCTGGTCCTCCTTTGTGGCCGAGTTCAAGCTCCGGTTTGTCGAGGAGAACGAGCAAGACCACGCCCTGGCACGACTGGAGACCCACGCTTACTACATGGGATCCCGCGACGTGTTCAAATACACGGACGAGTTCGACGACCTTCTCGACTTGGCGGGTTACTCTGACAACCTGGTCAAGGTCACCAAGTACCGGGCGGGTCTGGACCCCAGAATCAATCAGGCGATCACGACCTCCGGTAACCCGCCTAGCCTCACAAACTACTCGGAGTGGCGTACCCGCGCATTCCGCCAGTACAACGCCGAGGTGGCTGCCCGAGCTGCACGAGGACAGGTGTTCTCTCCATCCCGCGCTCCGCCTCCTGCGGCCCCCCGCCCTCGCCCCGTGGCTGCTCCGGTGGTTGCTCCACCTCCTGCTCCCCGACCAGCCCCAGTAGTCCTCCCACCGGGCATTCCCATGGAGATCGACCGAACCAGAGCCCGCACCGGTGTTCGTCGCACCTGCTTCCGATGCGGCAGCCCGGGACACCTGGCCCGAGACTGCCCGACCCCCGTGGATGTCCGGCACGCTGACGTCCTGGACGAAGTGATCAATCAGCTGGGAAGCGACCTGTTGGCGGAATTAGTGGCCCGGCTAGCAACCACAGCGGCCGTAGAAGAGCACGAAGCAGAGATTGCCAACGAGTCGGAGCAGGGTTTTCTCCCCCGCGACGAGTGAATAGTACGCCCTCGATCGCCTCACGTAATCGTTTTGAATGTCTGTATGATGAATGCGACCTCATTTCCCCTGCAAACGAAACAATAGACGTACCCCCTGCCCCTCGCTCTGTCCCGCTGGTCCGTAAGGAAAAGTGGGAACGAAAACTCCCTCAGCGCTACGTGGTCGCAGCCTCCCCCGGCGCCAACTCCCTGCACCTCCCCCTAGAGATCCAGTCCACCGACAACGCAGTCCAGCTCGCCCTCAACGGACTGGTCGACTGCGGCGCCACGTCGGACTTCATCGACTCCACCTACGCCTCCGAAAACCGACTTCCGGTCCGACAGCTCTCCCAGCCTATCCCAGTCTACAACGTGGACGGCACGCCAAATGAAGCCGGCTCCATCCGACAAGTTGCCGATGTGGTCCTGCGTTACCAAGGACACAGCGAGCGTGTCCAGCTCGCCGTCACTCGGCTTGGCAAGCAGAAATTGATCCTCGGCTATTCCTGGCTTCGGAAGCACAACCCGGAGATCAATTGGGACACCCAGGAGGTAAAGATGAGCCGCTGCCCATCGGGCTGCTCCACCTGCACCGAGGAGTCTCGCCAAGAGAGACGGATAGCCCGGATTTCGGCCCGAGCACTCCGATCAACCCGACAAGGCCCTGTCCCCTCCATCTGCGTCGTTGATATTGAAGACCGCGAAGACGAGGCTATGCCACTGCTCCAGGAAGACGACGGAGAAGATTCGGATGAAGAGGAAGACTGTCTGGAAACCGGTGACCGTATCTTCTACACCCGTTTCAACCCTTCTGAAGACATCCGAGCCACTAGCACCGTCTCCCAGCGTCTTGCGGAGGCGTTTGCCAAGAACTCCGCCCCCTCTCGAGACTCCATACCCGAGTGGACGCGCGAGTTCGAGGATGTTTTCAGCAAGGAATCCTTCAACAATCTTCCGGAACGTCGCCCTTGGGACCACACCATTGAACTGGTGCCCGATGCAAAGCCAACAAACTGCAAGGTCTACCCTATCTCCCCCTTGGAGCAGAAGCAGCTCGACGCTTTCATCGAAGAAGGCATGGCCACCGGCCGAATCCGACCCTCGAAATCCCCCATGGCCTCCCCCGTCTTCTTTGTCAAGAAGAAGGATGGCAGCCTACGGTTTGTCCAGGATTACCGGGCACTGAATGCAATGACAGTGAAGAATCGGTACCCCCTCCCCTTGATCAACGACCTGATCAACAAGCTCAAGGGTGCCCGCTTCTTCACCAAACTCGATGTTCGATGGGGCTTCAACAACGTACGGATACGAGAAGGAGACAAGTGGAAGGCTGCGTTCCGGACCAACCGTGGGCTCTTCGAGCCACTGGTGATGTATTTCGGCCTTACCAACTCCCCCGCGACGTTCCAGACCATGATGAATGACATCCTCCAGGACCTCATCCTCTCGGGCGACGTCATGGTGTACCTGGATGACATCCTCATTGCTCACTCCGATCCTCACCTCCATCGTCGTATTGTGAACGAAGTCCTCCGGCGCCTCCGCGAAAACAAGTTGTACCTCCGAGCCGAGAAGTGCGAATTCAAGATGGAGTCCATCGAGTACCTCGGCGTGATCATCTCCCACAACCACGTCGAGATGGACCCCGTCAAAGTGGCAGGCGTGGCCGAATGGCCGGCCCCCTCTAACAAGAAGGAAGTGCAGCAGTTCCTTGGGTTCACTAACTTCTACCGGAGGTTTATCCGGGACTTCTTGCACGTTGCACGCCTGCTTTTTGACCTCACCAAGAAGGACGTACCATGGTCTTGGGGCGACAACGAGTCCACTTCGTTCCAGGCCTTGAAGGATGCAGTTACCTCTACGCCGGTTCTTCTCCTCCCAGACTCCTCCCGTCCTTATCGCCTAGAGGCTGACAGCTCCGATTTTGCCACAGGAGCCGTCATCTCGCAGCAGTCCCCCTCAGACGACAAGTGGCACCCAGTCGCCTTCTTCTCCAAAAGCCTTAACGACGTCCAGCGCAACTACGAGATCCACGACAAAGAGATGCTTGCAATTGTGCGTGCGCTGGAGGAGTGGCGGCACTTCTTGGAGGGCGCCGAGTACCCGGTGGAGATCTGGACCGATCACAAGAACCTGGAGTACTTCCGCAAGGCCCAGAACCTCAATCGCCGGCAAGCCCGATGGTCGCTCTACCTATCCCGCTTCGACTTCACGCTCCACCACCAACCCGGCCGGCTCATGGGACGACCAGACGCACTCTCCCGACGCCCGGACCACGGAGCCCCTTTGGACAACACAGACGTTACCCTGTTGAAACCGGAACTGTTCCATGTGCGAGCACTCGAAGGACTGTCCGTCTCTGGCCCGGAAGCCCCGCTTGTCCGTGACATTTGGGAATCGCTTTCCGGTGACCCTGACCTTGAGGAAGAACTTGCGCTTATAGCGCGACGGCTTCTGAAAGGGATGAAGGGGGCCCGCTCCGCTGTAGCAGCGGAATGGCGCATCCAGGACGGCCTCCTCTACTTCCGTGGGAAGCTGGTGGTCCCGCGTGACAAAGACCTACGGCGACGCATCCTTGAGCAACATCATGACACCCGCGTTGCGGGGCATGCTGGCCGCTTCAAGACGCTGGAGCTGGTCTCCCGGAACTACTGGTGGCCCCAGCTCTCACGACATGTCGGCCGGTACGTGGCCACCTGCGACCTGTGCTGTCGGACCAAGGCCCTCCGACGACTCCCCACCGGAGAGCTTCACCCCACGGAGATCCCCTCGGAACGTTGGGAATCGGTGTCGGTGGACTTCATCGTGGAGCTGCCTGAGGCGCACGGCTACGACGCCATCATGGTGGTCGTTGATATGCTGGGGAAGCGTGCCCACTTCATCGAGTGCCACACTCGCCTCTCGGCCGAAGGGATGGCTCGGTTGTTCTACAAGCATGTCTGGCGACACCACGGATTACCCATCAAATACGTCTCGGACCGTGGCCCTCAGTTTGTGGCAGACTTCACCCAAGAGCTATGGAAGCTGGTTGGCGTCTCCCCTGCCACGTCCACCGCTTACCACCCGCAGACTGATGGCCAGACCGAACGGGTCAACCAGGAGTTGGAGCAGTACCTCCGGATCTTCACCAGCTACAAGCAGGACGACTGGGATGAACTCTTGCCCGCAGCTGAGTTCACTTAGAACAACCACGTCCACTCCTCGACCCAGCAGGTTCCCTTCATGACAGACACAGGACGTTTACCACGCATGGGATTTGAGCCAACAGAGCAGCGCTCCACCCGAGCAGAGTCCGCCAACGAGTTTCTGGACCGGGTCGCATCGGGTGTAGCCGAGGCTAAATCGGCACTTGTCAAAGCAAAGGACGAGTACAAGAGGTACTATGACCGACGAAGGACTAACGCTCCCGACATCAAGGTTGGTAGCTGAGTCTGGCTTGACGCCTCAGACATCACGACGACGCGACCCTCTCGCGGCCTCTCCCACCGACGCCTGGGCCCCTTCAAAGTCACCCAAGTCGTAGGCCGGGGCGCATACAAGCTTGCCCTCCCCACCAGCCTCTCTCGCCTTCACCCAGTCTTCCCTGTGGTCAAGCTCCAGTTGGCCGGAGACGACCCGTTCCCCACTCGCCCGCGTCACGAGGAACCACCCCCTGTCCTGGGACAAGGCAAAGGAGGAGTGGGAAGTGGAGGAGATCCTAGACGCAAAGATGCGCTACCGGAGTGTCTGGTTCCGAGTACGATGGAAGGGCTACGACCCGTCTCATGACCAGTGGGTCAAGCACTCCGATGTTTTTGCTGACGATGCAGTGGCAGCGTTCTACCGCAGATACCCGGGAAAGCCACGCGTCATTGCAGCAGCTGTATTCGACTCGCTACCCTTCAGGAACTCATCGGCCCCTAACCGTACCTTGCGTCGAGGCGCCGCAATCAAGAGGGGGGGTGATGTCAGGGGAACCCCTGCTTTCGTCCGATCATCATGGGATCTCGCATGTGACCGCGCACGTGCCATCTGTCAAGCGTCACATGCTTCGGTCCGGACTTCTCTGCCAAGCGCGTCCACATGACACTCCGGCCCGCACCCCCATTGTTCCGACGGTCCGGCTCCCATTGTTCCCCCCGATCCGGCCCCTCATTGTTCCCTGGCCCCATTGTCTGGCGCTTCCATTGTGCTTGGTCATCCATTGTTCTGTAGGCTATATATAGTGGGCCCTGACAAGGAGAGTCCCCAACTCGGTTTCTCTTTGGACTCTCCCTTGTCAGGTTTGCCAGTCTCCTGTACTAGTCGATCCCCTTATCTGACGCTTTGGACTCTCCCTTGTCAGGACTCTGAGATCGGGCCTCGAGGTTGCCCTTACACTGGGACCTGGGTAAGGATTCATCACCGGCAACTTCAAGAAAGAATGAGCATGACACTAATAAATGTATCACCACGCATCAGGTCATTCTCAAGGAAGTCGTAGAAAGTTTGGTGGTCCGAAGAACCCTCGAGCACCCGTGCAGCGATCATGCCCTCATCTAAAGCCATTGCACCTATCACTGTATAGCGCTGTTTCCGCACAAATGGTTGGTACATCTCTGCCCGCTGCCCAATTGGGGCACGGCCACCAAGTCTGGCGTATGTCCTGTCATCCTTTGACATCTCATCGACAGCCACCAGATAATGGGCTGGATACTCAGCAATGCGTGCAATGAAATGTCCCTCCAACACGGGGTCCCTCTCCATAGCCATTCGCTGAATGCGTTTCACATTGATTCCTGCACGGCAGAAGGCATAGTGAATGGTGGTGATGTGGACAGGACAATGACGAAGGCACGCCAAGAGCTCTTGATACTCATCCAAGAATTTGCCTGGCTGATACTCGGAGATGCGTATGAGGTAATCGATGTCCATCTTATGCAAGAGAGGTTGTCGCCCTCGTTGGCTAGTCGCATGTGTGGAATCAGGATTTCTGGTTCGTCGATACTGTGTCACAGCACGAGTAAGTGTGCGTGTAGAAAAGCCACAGATGTCCGCAATTTCACGTCGGGTATGCTTCCCACGTTTGACAAGACGCACAGCAATGGTTTTCGCGCTGTCGAGCTTACGACAGACCATGTCGTGTCAGCAAAGTGGAAAGAGGAAGGAATGATGGCTTGCATGGCTGTACACTTCTAACCTAACCTCACGACGAAGCCAGACACACACAAGATATATTTTCTTTTTTGGGTGAAGACATCAATTTTTCAAATTGCAATAAAGATACAAACATAACTCCTCATCATACATACATGCTTCCTGACTCACTACGTACCAATATTCACAATTTTCTTGTTGCCAAGATGGAAAAAGAACTCAAAGAAAAAATAGCTCTAAATAGAAAATATTGACAAGATAAAAAGGATCAGAAGATAGCAGCTGCGGATAGATTATTTTTGGACTCCTATGTATTTATAGCTCGTGGAGAAGAAACCACATCAACAAAGACCGTGTCATGGATCTTAGACATTTACAATTTATATTTGTAAATGACAACTGATTGATCTAATACTTCTTCGTGATCAATGGATCAAAACCCTTAGTTACAGGATATGATTTACATAGCCTTTCTCTGCCTTGCTGCGTACATAGCATTTCTGATATTTACTACGGAGTGCAGCTATGGGCTATGAACACAGCCTTTTTGTTTAAAGTATATAAACGATTGACCCTCTCAGTGGAGGGGCATCTTATCTTTGAATTCATATCTGTTATCTGTAAGGGCAACCTCAAGACCCGATCTCAGAGTTCTGGCAAGGGAGAATCCAAAGTGTCAATAGTGGTAGCTAGGTACAAGACCAGCATACCTGGCAAGGGAGAATCCAAAGAGAAACCGTGTTGGGGATTCTCCTTGCCAGGCGCCACTATTTATATGATACAAGAACAATAGAGCGCGCAGCAACAAACAAAGAACAATGGGAACAATAAGTACAATGGCCATTGGAGAACAATAGGAAACCGAGACAGTGGGAACGATGGGACAGCTGACCATGTGCCCATCAGAGAGAAGCGCTTGGCGCGGCAGTCCGGGCCGCGGCGCATGACAGCTGACAGGTCACGCGAGCGCGATCACATGCCTGATCGAAGGCAGAGCAGTCCGAAGCGGGGGTTCCCCTGACATCACCCCCCCCCTTGGATTGCGGCGCCTCGACGCAACGTGCGGATGGAGGCAGAGGGGTGCTGGAACGGAAGGGAGTCGAAGATGGCGGCAGCAATGATGCGTGGCTTGTTGGGGTGTTTGCAGTAGAATGCCGCTATAGCGTCCTCTGCGAAGATATCAGAGTGCTTAACCCACTGGTCGTGCGACGAATCGTAGCCCTTCCACCGCACGAAGTACCAAATGCTCTGGTAGCGCATCTTGGCGTCCAGGACCTCTTTGACTTCCCACTCCTCGCCAGCTCCTTGGCCCATGACGGGTGGCGGCTCCTTGCAAGCCGGGCATGTTGGGAACGGGTCGTCCTCAACGAGCTGCAGCTTGACAACGGGGAAGACCAGGTGAAGACCAGAGAGGCGGCGAGGGAGGTCAAGCTTGTAAGCACCGCGCCCAACAACCTGGGTGACTTTGAAGGGACCCAGCCGTCGGTGAGAGAGTTTGAGGGACAGGCGCGTTGTTGCTATGTCAGAAGCGTCAAGCCAGACTCGATCTCCGACCTTGATGTCTGGAGCTGAGACCCTCCGGCGGTCGTAGTACTGCTTGTACTCATCCTTTGCCTTCACCAGTGCCGACTTGGCTTCTGCCACTCCAGCCGCGATGCGGTCGCGGAAGTCGTTTGCCGACTCGTTCACAGCTGAGCGTAGTCCATTTGGTTCGAAGCCCATACGAGGGAGTCAACCGGTATCTGTCATGAACGGGACCTGCTGCGTGGATGAGTGAATATGGTTGTTGTAGGCAAACTCTGCAGCGGGAAGCAGCTCGTCCCAATCGTCCTGGTTGTAGCTGGTGAAGATCTGGAGGAACTGCTCGAGCTCCTGGTTCACACGCTCGGTCTGGCCGTCTGTCTGTGGATGCCAAGCTGTAGACATTGCCGATGAGACCCGGACCAGTTTCCACAGCTCCTGCGTGAACTCTGCTATGAACTGGGAGCCACGGTCAGAGACATACTTAGACAGCAGCCCATGGTGGCGCCAGACGTTCTTGTAGAAAAGCCTGGCGGCACCTTCACCGGAGAGCCGGGTGTGGCACTCTATAAAGTGGCTGCGCTTCCCAAGCATGTCAACAACGGCCATGATAGCATCATACCCGTGAGCGTCTGGCAGATGCACAATGAAGTCAACTGACACCACTTCCCAGCGCTCCAAAGGGACCTCCGTGGGATGGAGTTCCCCGATTGGGAGTTGGCGGAGCGCCTTGGTTCGGCAACACAGGTTGCAGGTGGCCACATACCGGCCGACGTGTCGAGACAACTGGGGCCACCAGTAGTTCCGAGAGATCAGTTCCAACGTCTTGAAGCGGCCGGCATGCCCTGCGACACGGGTGTCGTGGTGCTGCTTGAGGATGCGTCGGCGGAGGTCGTTGTTGCGTGGAACCACCAGCTTGCCACGGAAGTAGAGCAGGCTGCCTTCTTTTCGCCACTCCGCAGCCCGAGCAGAGCGAACTCCGTGTTCCTTGAGGAGCTCACGTGCTGCCAACACAATGGGCTCCTCCATGTCGGGGGTACCGGCGAGGGCCTCCCGGATGTCGCGCAGGAGAGGGCCCTCGGGTCCAGAGACAGTAAGACCCTCTAAGGCCCGGGCATGGAACAGCTCCGGGCGCAGCAGTGTGACGTCTGCGTTGTACGAAGCGACTCCGTGGTCGGGGCGGCGCGAGAGAGCATCCGGGCGGCCCATGAGGCGGCCAGGTTGGTGGTGCAGGGTGAATTCGAAGCGAGACAGATAGAGGGACCAGCGGGCTTGACGACGGTTGAGATTCTGGGCCTTCCGGAAGTACTCCAGATTTTTGTGGTCGGTCCAGATCTCAACGGGGTGCTCGGCGCCCTCGAGGAAGTGTCGCCACTCCTCCAAGGTGCGGACGATGGCAAGCATCTCCTTGTCGTGGATTTTGTAGTTCCGCTGGACCTCGTTAAGACTCTTCGAGAAGAAGGCAACCGGATGCCACTTGTCATCCACGGGGGACTGCTGCAAGATGACAGCACCGGTCGCGAAGTCCGAACTGTCTGCTTCGAGGCGGCAAGACCTGGAAGCATCCGGGAGCTGCAGGACTGGGGTAGAGGTAACAGCGTTCTTCAGCGCAAGAAACGCAGCTGCCTCGTTGGCGCCCCAAGTCCATGCCACGTCCTTCTTGGTGAGGTCAAAGAGAGGACGGGCAACGTGCGAAAAATCCCGGATGAACCTCCGGTAGAAGTTAGTGAAGCCGAGGAACTGCTGCACTTCCTTCTTGACAGCCGGAGCTGGCCACTCCGCCACACCTGCGACCTTGACCGGGTCCATCTCTACATGGTTGTGGGAAATGATCACCCCAAGGTATTTGATTGACGGCATCTCAAACTCGCATTTCTCCGCACGAAGGTAGAGCTTGTTCTCATGGAGACGTCGGAGGACTTCGTTCACGATTTCCCGGTGACGGTGGATATCGGAATGTGCGATGAGAATGTCGTCGAGGTACACCATAACGTCGCCAGAGAGGATGAGGTCCTGAAGTATGTCATTCATCATCGTCTGGAACGTTGCGGGGGAGTTGGTCAGGCCGAAATACATCACCAACGGTGTAAGGGCAACCTCGAGGCCCGATCTCAGAGTCCTGACAAGGGAGAGTCCAAAGCGTCAGAAAATGGGATCGACTAGTACAGGAGACTGGCAAACCTGACAAGGGAGAGTCCAAAGAGAAACCGAGTTGGGGACTCTCCTTGTCAGGGCCCACTATATATAGCCTACAGAACAATGGATGACCAAGCACAATGGAAGCGCCAGACAATGGGGCCAGGGAACAATGAGGGGCCGGATCGGGGGGAACAATGGGAGCCGGACCGTCGGAACAATGGGGGTGCGGGCCGGAGTGTCATGTGGACGCGCTTGGCAGAGAAGTCCGGACCGAAGCATGTGACGCTTGACAGATGGCACGTGCGCGGTCACATGCGAGATCCCATGATGATCGGACGAAAGCAGGGGTTCCCCTGACATCACCCCCCCTCTTGATTGCGGCGCCTCGACGCAAGGTACGGTTAGGGGCCGATGAGTTCCTGAAGGGTAGCGAGTCGAATACAGCTGCTGCAATGACGCGTGGCTTTCCCGGGTATCTGCGGTAGAACGCTGCCACTGCATCGTCAGCAAAAACATCTGAGTGCTTGACCCACTGGTCGTGAGACGGGTCGTAGCCCTTCCATCGTACTTGGAACCAGACACTCCGGTAGCGCATCTTTGCGTCTAGGATCTCCTCCACTTCCCACTCCTCCTTTGCCTTGTCCCAGGACAGGGGGTGGTTCCTCGTGACGCGGGCGAGTGGGGAACGGGTCGTCTCCGGCCAACTGGAGCTTGACCACAGGGAAGACTGGGTGAAGGCGAGAGAGGCTGGTGGGGAGGGCAAGCTTGTATGCGCCCCGGCCTACGACTTGGGTGACTTTGAAGGGGCCCAGGCGTCGGTGGGAGAGGCCGCGAGAGGGTCGCGTCGTCGTGATGTCTGAGGCGTCAAGCCAGACTCAGCTACCAACCTTGATGTCGGGAGCGTTAGTCCTTCGTCGGTCATAGTACCTCTTGTACTCGTCCTTTGCTTTGACAAGTGCCGATTTAGCCTCGGCTACACCCGATGCGACCCGGTCCAGAAACTCGTTGGCGGACTCTGCTCGGGTGGAGCGCTGCTCTGTTGGCTCAAATCCCATGCGTGGTAAACGTCCTGTGTCTGTCATGAAGGGAACCTGCTGGGTCGAGGAGTGGACGTGGTT